AAAATTCTTTGTCACTGCAGTCTAGGCATACTGGGACGTAAAACTGTCTTAGACTTTATCAATGAAATGTAATGGCTGGGCATCAAATACCTCCTTTGCTATAGCCTTTACTTCAAGTAAAAGACACCATTCAGCATCCATCTTTTCATTGGTCTGGTGGTTTTAGTGTTCTTTTTTTTTTTTTCTCCAGTTATAACACTTTTAAATAAATGCTATAATGATATTCTATACAAGTGGAGAAAAGCAACAGTGGCGTATTGCCAATATCAACCCAAATTTTTATTTTTGAATTGACACAGAAAAACAACACCCCAACTTCTGCTATTGGGCCAGAATACCTCCATTAGCAACACTGGCCAGAATGTGTTAATTGTGGCACAGGAGGAATTGGGAAGGTGAACTTACAGAGGAGCTCAAGTCTACCCCAAAAGAATTCAAAGTCCGCAGCTACAAATACTGTAGCAGCTGACTTTTACTATATGGAGACTTACCTGTTCAAGGATCCAGCACTGTCCTCATCTGAGCCGATTGTTCAGTCAGCTTCAGGTCCCTAGCACTGGCTTCTTTAATAAGGAAACTGCCAGTGAAGCCCTGTGGCTTCACAGCCGGTTTCCCACTGCGCATTTGCGAGTCATGCTGCTCTTTGTGAATGGTCCCGCAGTTTTCTGGGACCTGTGGGGGAGGCCGAACTTCTGCTCAGATTGCCTCGGTGATCTGACCAGAAGTGGGAGTGGGTGCCTGTCAAAATAAGGTACTCAATTCCCCCACCCCCCAAAAAAAGTACCAATCATTAAAGAGGAGGGGAGAGGGATGCAAATAAGAGGAACTTCCCCTATTGGGTGACATACAGTTGTGACCAAAATTATTCAACCCCCACTGAAATTGAGTGTTTTGGCCAGTTTGACATTGCTTTTGATCATTCAGTCATCTTGCTTACATTTACATTAAAGAGGCACTTGTAGGTCAGACAAATATAACATAACAGTTATAATGAAATAACCACAAATGTCTTTTCTGTGCTCACAGCATTATCAGTTTTATTCAACCCCCAAGTGACATTCAATCTTAGTACTTAGTACAGCATCCTTTTACAGTTATAACAGCTTTTAAACGTGAAGCATAGCTTGACACAAGTGTCTTGCAGCGATCTACGGGTATCTTCGCCCATTCTTCATGGGCAAAGGCCTCCAGTGCGTCAGTCACATTCTTAGGCTTGCGCACTGCAACTGCTTTCTTTAAGTCCCACCAGAGGTTCTCAATCGGATTTAAGTCTGGTGACTGCGATGGCCACTCCAAAATGTTCCAGCCTTTCCTCTGCAACCATGCTCTAGTGGACTTGGAGGTATGCTTGGGATCATTGTCCTGTTGAAAGGTCCAACGTCTCCCAAGCCTCAGGTGTGTGACGGACTGCATCACGTTTCCATCCAATATCTCCTGGTACTGAAGAGAATTCATGGTACCTTGCACACGCTGAAGCTTCCCTGTACCTGCAGAAGCAAAACAGCCCCAAAGCATGATTGACCCTCCACCATGCTTCACAGTAGGCAAGGTGTTCTTTTCATCAAAGGCCTTGTTCTTCCTCCTCCAAACATAGCGTTGATCCATGGGCCCAAACAGTTCTAATTTTTTTTCATCAGTCCACAGAACACTATCCCACAACTTTTGTGGTTTGTCCACATGGCTTTTGGCATACTCTTCTTATTCTTTGGAGACAGCAAGGGGGTACGCCTGGGAGTTCTGGCACGGAGGCCTTCATTACGCAGTGTGCGTCTTATTGTCTGGGCTGAAACTTCTGTACCCACATCTGACAAATCTTTTCTCAGTTCCTCAGCAGTCACACGGGGACTTCTCTCCACTCTACGCTTCAGGTAGCGCACAGCAGTCGAAGTCAGCATCTTCTTTCTGCCACGACCAGGTAGCGTTTCAACAGTGCCCTTTGCCTTGAATTTGCGAATGATGCTTCCTAAGGTGTCTCTTGGTATGTTTAACATCTTTGCAATCTTCTTATAGCCATTGCCCTTCCTGTGAAGAGAAATCACCTCTTCTCTTGTCTTCCTGGACCATTCTCTTGCCTTCACCATGTTTGTAACCACACCAGTAAATGTCTAGAAGGAGCTGAGTATCACAGTCATTTTAAAGCTGCCTAATTGGTGCTTATTATGCTTGATTGCTGCTCGGTGACATCCACAGGTGTTTTCAATACCTGATGGAAAGCACCTGTATGAACCTCTGTTCTTCAGAGTGGTAGTCTTTAAGGGGTTGAATAATTGTGGCAATGAAGAAACCACATAAGAACCATTTACTACTGTATTACATAAACAATTGATGTCATTTTAGTTGCATTTGGGTAGTTACAACGTCCTTGTAGGATTTGATTCTGAATACAATTCCAAATGTACACTATAGTCCCTAAACCCCTTTACAGCATTGGGGGTTGAATAATTTTGGTCACAACTGTATGTGGACTAGTAGTTGGAACTTGTAACCCTGCATTCCCCTAAGACATGCTGGGAGCTTGGGACATGTAGCCCCCCCAATACTCCCAAGAGACCTGCTGGGGCTTGTATGCACTCCCCCGAGCCCGATCTCGGTTCAGCACTTTTGGTTCAGGAGCTCCTGCTACTGTCAATCAAAACCTGCAAGCAGGGCTGAATAGATGTAAACAGCCCGGCTCAGGAGCAAGCCCACATGACTGCCCCCATAGGAGGCTGCTTCCTGTGGTGGGCACTTGACGGGGAGGAGCCAGGAGCACCAGTAGGGGGCCTGAGAAGAGGACCTGGGCTGCTCTATGTAAAACCATTACACAGAACCCGTACGTATAACTTGTTTGTTATTTTAATGAAACAAAAATAGAAGCTTTGCAATCACTTTAAGATGGCAGAGGGAGGGCACGCAGATGATGGATACCATGGTGTTGCTTGAAGGGAAGACAGTCCAGTACAAACGTAACCAGTCCCACATAAGTGGGAAATGTGTGGATTCTGAAGTCCCATCAGCCATATTGGTTATAGTCAGACACTTGTGGAGGAAAGAGACTTAATGGCCACTTATACAAGTCTTCTTGCTTTCTAATATTGCCAATCTAGTCATATGCCAGATGGATAGCATTGGCTAAAATTGTTAGGACAGGATTTTCTTTTTTAGTACTCTGATGTTAATCATGTGTCTCAAACACCCTGTGAATTTCATTTTTATCATTTATTTTTTTCAAATTGTCATTGAACTTGGATATTTGAATTGGACAAGGGTTTTCTAGGCCCCCTTATTTCATCATTTTGTGTAGCACAGTATGTCTTCCCAACACAGCGGTACCTAGCTGTACTACTTACCGCATTCTGAAATGAATGGATTGCTTTTTGGAGGGTGGTGTAGCAGCAGTTGACAGGCATTCGGGAGTTGCTACTGCAGCCTCCTGAATGACTGTGTTTTTTTTGTTTTTGTTTTTTGACAGGTAGGCTCCCTAGTTGAAAATGTCACAGCTGCAAAGCAATGAACTCTGTCCAGCTGTATTGTTACAGTTTGAGTGGGTGGTTGGGAGCGGTAAAACTGCGGCTCAGCTGCCTGTTTTTACCTTTGCTGATTCTGGGTAATTGGAAAGCAAAAGTAAGTGCACTCCTGTGACAAAATGGATAGGGCCAAATAGCTTTGGTCATACTACTCTTTTTTAAAATTCCCCTAATTGGGAAATTCACAAATTCTCTGTTGTGAAATAAGGGCATTTACCCAGAAGTCATTTTTGCTCTGAGAGGTTTTCCTGAGTAATTCCTGGAGAGTATTTCCTGTTTAGAATTTAGTACTAGGCTGACAAGGGACCTGAAAAAGACAAGAAGTTGTTCTTACTGGCTCATAGATCTTCAGTGTTGCTTTGCCCTCGTGCATTATTACAATACTGTTGGTTTTGTTATCACTACCCTATTGTTTGTCATGTGAAAATGAAGATCTCTTCACAGGATAAGTTCACCTTTGTAAAAAAAAGAAAAAAAAACTCTCTTTTTGCAGGTAAAAAAATGTGCATTTATTATTATTTTTTTTAATTTCTTTTACCTGGAACCTATAAAGCATTGCACTAATGATCAGCAGATCTCATTGCCATGCAAGACTCCTGCAGACCTGTCTGTATATCTGTGTGGCGGTACCTCGTACATGCAGGCAGTTATACACCAACAGGAAAAGAGAATGAACTACTACAGTGCACCGCAGTTCCATGGTAGTTCATTGAGAACTACAAGCAGACAGCTGCAAAGTCTATTGGGACGTGTAGTTTTTCATTCACATAATTCTGTGATTAAATTACGTGGCTGGGTGGGCAGAGCCCCGCACAGATGCGTCTTTTTTTTTTTTTTTTTAATTACGACAGCAGACACGGGGAGAAAATCCTCGGTCTGCCACTCCTTTGTGTGGGGAGTAGGGGCACGGGGCAGCCGAATACGGGTGTAACATGTTAGAAAAGGCGAACCTATCCTTTAAAGTCCATCTCCAGGCAAATGAAAAAATCTTCCCTTGTGATGGGGCTGCCCCTGCACTTCAAGGGTAAAAAGCTTATTTAGGTCTACAGGACCAGGAAAAGCATTTTTTTTCACTTGTGTCTCCTGGTCCTCACCTCAAATGAAAGGCTATGGACCCTGCATTGTACTTCATGATGTCAGAGGACCTGCATTCGGCAGAAGAGACTGCGGGAACCGGTCTAGCAGTGTGGAGGGATCCTGCATGAGGGGAAGATTGGATAAGTAAAGGTGCTTTTTCTGGTCTCCTAGACATAAGCAAGCATTTTACCCATTCAGTGCGGTTCTGCCTGGAATTCAGCTTTAAGAACATTACTCTCATCCATCAGTTGATCATCCTTGTTCTGTGTTTTTCTCATTATAAAGTCTGTATATATTTTTTCAGTATGAGTGTTTTCAGTCATTCATAACAAGCATGTCTATGTTAAGTATTCTAGAAGGTTATCTGGAATGAATATGTTGTGTGTAATTCATGTCTGTGTTGCTCTGCACTTGTAGAACATTGACAGAGTATTATTTGTGGGGAACTTTCTACGAATTAACATGGTTTCAATGAAGCTGCTATCTTATGCCATGGATTACTGGTCGAAAGGACAACTCAAAGCCCTTTTTCTGGAGCATGAGGTAAGAGACGTTGTAACAGTGTATTAATTCATGGATAATTTAAAGCTGAACGCTGGGAAAAAATGTACACTGCATGAGTTGACTGCTCATTTTGTCCAGGGGCATACAGAAAGGCTATACTTACCCAATCCTTCGATCCTCCATAAAGGAGCACTCCCCTACGTCCAGTGGTGGACTGTTCCTGCTGACCTCACGTGCAGAGCTAGTCTGTGGGCGTGATGATAATAGGAACAGTTCACTGCACAAGACCACTAGCGTGTGGGGGACAGGAGCAGTAGGGACTAATCTTGCACTTGGAGGATCGGCTGGTTAAGTAAATATATCTCCTTCCTCCTCACCCCTAGACAAAAATAAGCAGTTAACCCATGCAGTTTAGGCACAGCCCCATTGTATGGGGAAACCTTTTTTCCTGGAATTCTTTTTTAAAACGTTATGATGTTTACTTAGGGTGCTCATACATGGATTGATAATTCAGCCGGTTCAGGAGAGTGGCTGATTTTCTTTCCATGTATGGCCTGGGTGTTGGTTTGATCCATCAATTGATTTGTGTACAACCAGCCTGTCTGGTTTTCCCAAGCTATAGCTGGCAGCACTGATTGTATTCTGACAGTGGGGAAATCTCCCCATTGTCAGAACACAAAAGCACCAGGGCAGTGCTTCCCCCATTCACATCAAATGAGATATATACAGTCAGGTCCATAAATATTGGGACATTGACACAATTTTAACATTTTTGGCTCTATACACGACCACAATGGATTGAAAATGAAATGAACAAGATGTTCTTTAACTGCAGACTGTCAGCTTTAATTTGATGGTATTTACATCCAAATCAGGTGAACGGTGTAGGAATTACAACAGTTTGCATATGTGCCTCCCATTTGTTAAGGGACCAAAAGTAATGGGACAATTGGCTTCTCAGCTGTTTCATGGCCAGGTGTGTGTTATTCCCTCATTGTCCCAATTACAATGAGCAGATAAAAGGTCCAGAGTTCATTTCAAGTGTGCTATTTGCATTTGGAATCTGTTGCTGTCAACTCTCAAGATGAGATCCAAAGAGCTGTCACTATCAGTGAAGCAAGCCATCATTAGGCTGAAAAAACAAAACAAACCCATCAGAGAGATAGCAAAAACATTAGGCGTGGCCAAAACAACTGTTTGGAACATTCTTAAAAAGAAGGAACGCACCGGTGAGCTCAGCAACACCAAAAAACCAGGAAGACCACGGAAAACAACTGTGGTGGATGACCGAAGAATTCTTTCCCTGGTGAGGAAAACATCCTTCACAACAGTTGGCCAGATCAAGAATACTCTCCAGGAGGTAGGTGTATGTGTGTCAAAGTCAACAATCAAGAGAAGACTTCACCAGAGTGAATACAGAGGGTTCACCACAAGATGTAAACCATTGGTGAGCCTCAAAAACAGGAAGGCCAGATTAGAGTTTGCCAAACGACATCTAAAAAAGCCTTCACAGTTCTGGAACAACATCCTATGGACAGATGAGACCAAGATCAACTTGTACCAGAGTGATGGGAAGAGAGAGTATGGAGAAGGAAAGGAACTGCTCATGATCCTAAGCATACCACCTCATCAGTGAAGCAAGGTGGTGGTAGTGTCATGGCGTGGGCATGTATGGCTGCCAATGGAACTGGTTCTCTTGTATTTATTGATGATGTGGCTGCTGACAAAAGCAGCAGGATGAATTCTGAAGTGTTTCGGGCAATATTATCTGCTCATATTCAGCCAAATGCTTCAGAAGTCATTGGACGCCGCTTCACAGTACAAATGGACAATGACCCAAAGCATACTGCAAAAGCAACCAAAGAGTTTTTTAAGGGAAAGAAGTGGAATGTTATGCAATGGCCAAGTCAATCACCTGACCTGAATCCGATTGAGCATGCATTTCACTTGCTGAAGACAAACCTGAAGGGAAAATGCCCCAAGAACAAGCAGGAACTGAAGACAGTTGCAGTAGAGGCCTGGCAGAGCATCACCAGGGATGAAACCCAGCGTCTGGTGATGTCTATGCATTCCAGACTTCAGGCTGTAATTGACTGCAAAGGATTTGCAACCAAGTATTAAAAAGTGAAAGTTTGATTTATGATTATTATTCTGTCCCATTACTTTTGGTCCCTTAACAAGTGGGAGGCACATATGCAAACTGTTGTAATTCCTACACCGTTCACCTGATTTGGATGTAAAAACCCTCAAATTAAAGCTGACAGTCTGCAGTTAAAGCAAATCTTGTTTGTTTCATTTCAAATCCATTGTGGTGGTGTATAGAGCCAAAAATTTTAGAATTGTGTCGATGTCCCAGTATTTATGGACCTGACTGTATGTATGTGTGTGTCTGTATGTATATATATATATGTATATGTGTGTATATATATATATATATATATATATATATATATATATATATATGTGTGTGTGTGTGTGTGGAGAGGGAGAATTTTTTTTTTTTTCTTTCAACTCGCTGGTTAAACAGAAAAAGAAAATGATTACTGTATGGCCAGCCTTAGGAATGTAAAAGCCCTTATACAGATCCACTATCCAGTGCATGTCCAACAAGCTGACCAATACCCTGCAATTGGTTTTGCTGCACACTGTTTTCTGTTGCTATATATTAATCGCTGGAATCCTATGTATTGTACAACAATTGGACTCTGCATATCCAATCGTTTTACTGTTGGCACAGAAAATGTCGTATTTTTGTAGTACAAATAAGAAGATTTATATAGTTGTCATTGATGTGTTTAACTGGAAACCAAAAGAGATTTACTTTAAATATGAGATGAAATCTGCAGCACACGTATTCATGGTACAAAAGGATTATCTGCTCCAGGCAGACTATAAAAAGCACCAATTGATGAATAAAGTATGACCTGTATTTTGAAATACAATTCATTTTAGTAGCTGAAATTGACTTGTTGTCAGCTCCTTGTAATCTCCTATACAGCAGAGCTCAGACTGGGAGAGGACAGATGCTGTGTTCTCTTAACTGCAGCAGAGATAAATCCGGTCACTAGTCTGGCTCTGCTGTCTAGCAGGACCAAGTAAATAATAGGACCTATAATAGGACCAGATGGACAAAAACAGAAATCCTTCGGCAGTTAAATTACTTTCCTTTATATGTATTTCAGCTAATATATTTAGTGGGTTTCCCGGAGTTCATATTTAATATATAAAGCTTGTATACTTTGTGCCTTTGTACATAGTCCTGGCTTCTGTATCATGTGCTTATAAGATTGATTGTTAGTACATCCTATTGTATTGTTTGTGTGAGCTGTCCTGCTATTGGTGTTGCTTTTCATTGTATATTAATGAAATATAATCTCCTAAATCAGCTATGCCCCACAGTGTCCCCTAAAATATTAGCTTTTAACAATCTAGTAAACATGGTATATTTTTTTTTTATGACATAATTGGAAGAAAGCATGCCTCAACAAAGCACCATTATGCCATTTGATTTGAGTATCATGTGACATGGTTGTTATTCTTCCATTATTGAAACTAGTAGCACTAAATATATGGTCGGCATCAGAAGGCAACGTGATAGAAGATCAGCATGGATGATATGAGCGCGTATTCTTCTGTCAGCATTCCTCTATAAATGTGATCCCCAGTTAGTGGCGCTTTACAGGCACCAGACCGGTTGTGGTAGACCAACATCAATGCAGAACCTGGCAGCTTCTCCAGTCTCCACAAATACCAATGAAAACCGGTGTACCGATGACAGGGAGACCCGTGGATATGGGATGACCCTTGTCTACTTCACCCTTTTTTTTTTTTTTTCAGATCAGACCCCAATTTGTTTTATATGCTATTCTGGATGTCCGGTGAAAGAGTGATCAGTTATGTGGAAAGAATCTCTATTCTTTCCTTAATAAGCTGATGCCAGAGGTCCACTTCTCTTTCCTTAGCATAAACATGTTGAGCTGGTATGGTTTTGGAGCTGCTGGCAGGTGGTCAAATCATGTTTGAAGGTCAGGCTGACTCAACGGGGCACATATCTCTAGTATCCAATTAGAATTGAACTTTTTTGTGAATGGACTTAGGTACACAGGCACTTGCTTTGCTAAGTCAGCCTGTTTGTGGAGCAGGGATGACCATAGTGCCACCAAATGCCACAAGCATTGGAGGCTCTTGGCACTTACAAATAGCTGTTCCCTTACAAACCATATGCATTTTTCCACTGCTTCTTACATAATCTAGAAATATTCTTAAAGCTGAAATACAGGAATTCAGCTATTTTATAAAAAGTGCTGGCAAGCTGAGTCAAGTCCAGCGATGTGCATATCTCTTTTACATCTGACAGTTTTATGAAGCTATGGCTACACTCCAGGGCTCTGAGATAAGAGATGCTGTCTTCTCATACACCACAAGCAGTTCTGCACCCCTCATTGCCCATTCAGAGAAGCCTTTGTATTTTGTGAATTCGTTCACATAATACAAAGCGGCTTGTGATTGGGCAGTAGGAAGGGAGGGGCAGGCACAGCAGCTTAAGTTGCTGAGACCAAAAGGTCTTATGTCGGAGCTCCAGGAATGTAGCAAAAGCTACCCCTCAGAGCTCCATAAAACTGTAAGATGTAAATTAAAGCGATAAATCCACAAGGTGGCATGCAACTCCTGGGCCATAAAGTGGTTGTAAAGGCCTAAAGTTTTGTATCTTCCTACATTCTATGCATGAAGGTAAAAAACCTTGTGTGCATCAGCGCCCGCCCCCCAATACTTACCTGAGCCCCATCGTGATCCAGCAATGTGCACAAGAGCCTTGTCTCTCCAGGGATGCTCCTTCCTCATTTGCTGAGACAAGGGCTCCCACTGCTGTCAATCACAGCCAGCAAGAGGAGAGGGGGGGGGGGGGCTGAGCCATGGCTCTGTATGCAAATGGGCACACAAATCAGCAGCTCAGGAGCGAGCCTGCTTGGGTGTCCCCATAGTAAGCTGCTTGCTCTGGGGGCACTTGGCAGTAAGGAGGGGCCCGGAGCTATGGTGGAGGACGCAAGAGCAGGATTAGGGCTGCT